TGAGGGACATTTACTTGATTTTCCATATATCTAATTTCATTTACAAAGTTTGTTTTGTCACCCCCAACAATACCATAAATATTTGACTGGGCACAATACACAAAATAGCACTTGTTTTGTCTATGGAAAATACGATTTTCTTTGTCCCTTATTACTTGTTTGCAACTCTTGAAGCCACTAGGTGCACCGAGTAATTGCGGCTTTCTCATTATCAAGAGGTACCCAGTCAGAGCTGGGTGGACTTGAACACATAATCACAGTACTTTGTTCAAGTTTACTGCACGTTGCTGTACCCGCAACTAGGTGTTTGCCCGTATTCGTGTAGCCACCATCTCAGAGCTACAGATAACTTTTTGGGTCATTGAGTTATGTACTCGCTTGTGTTCATCTCAATTGGGTATCATAATTTTCCTTTGAGTAACCCAATATTGTACTCACCTCACTCAAACTCAACTGGGTATTTTGCCATTTTCCATTAATTTTAAAAATATAATAAAGTTTAAATGTTGGTGTTTGTTATTTATATTTGATCTGTAATATGAGAAACGATAAGAAAGACTGCAAGTTGTCAAGTTCATGTCCTGAAATAGAACCTCTCAATATACCTCAGTTATTTTATCTATCCACAGATACGCAAGCTAAGATTTGGCATTTTGATGTGTACGCATGTAAGATCCCCTTTATTGAGTATTTACAAAAATTCAAGCGTACTTGTAAACAATAGACTTAATAGGAATTGAGTTCTCACATAAATATTTGCGTAATTCACGCACTGGGGCCGGCGGGTTGTAGACTTCTATCAGATAAATATGTGCGTAATTCACGCAGATACGCAGCTTATCTGTACCTCTGCATCTTGTCATATACCAACTGATTTGTTGGTTCTTTTAAGTCCACAGGGTTGTGTACTGTACACTTGGGGTGGTGACAACACTGAAAGAGTCTGCACACAAAGTTGACTCCAAGGTTTTTACACCAGGTGACAGGTGACCATTATTTTTAAAGGTTTTAGAAACCTGAACACCCAATCAAAGAGCTCAATAACTTATTTCCCTTTCATCATGATGTAGTTGGTGAGAAGACATTTCATAAGTGAATGACCTTTAAACAATCTTGACATTTGACACAACCAAGGCATGAGGTACTGAGAGTATCATAAATGGTTAAACATAGAGATCTTTCATTAATTAATCTAAAATTTCAAGTAAGTTTTCATATACACAATGTTTCATAACTTGACATCTTTTGACTTTTCTTTTATCATGTTTATACAGAGGTCCAGGGATAGAAATGCAATTTTCAAACGATGCCACAGGGCACCAGACAGATAATTTAGTTGTGCCTTTATGAAAATACATGTGCCCATGATTTTGATGATCCAATTAAACATAAAACATCACAACAATCATGTCATTTCAATTTATTGTTACTAAATCAGTTAACATCATATAAACCTGTAATGTGTAAACCTGAGAGCTGGATTTCCTGAACACTATCAAGACTGCAAGAATAGCTCAGCTTCATTTGTCATTGAACCATAAACAAACCCGCAAACTATGTTATCATCCACAACGAGATTTCCTGTTATCAGATTTCCTGTTATCGACAATGGCAAAATGGCCACGCCCAACTTGAGCTGGGTGATTTAGAGTGGCACCAAAAAATAGTTTGATAGGGGGCAAAAATAGGTTTTGAATCATTTGAGTTGGTCCAATATACATCGCATTTTCCATCAAATGAAACATGGTGAGTATCATTTATATAATTTCAGTTGTGCCATCAGGGCACATTTCAAGTACATGTATTTCATATGTGCCATTTCTAGGGCTGCAACGAATACACTATGTGGCGAATATGATATGTATCATGAATATTGGGTAACGAATACGAATAATTATTCCTGAATACAATATCGTAGTTAAGTGATTGATGTACAATAGTGGTGTTCCGATTAATTGAAATAATTGAAGATTGGTCGCAGTGGCCAAACGACCAAGCAATCGATCACATTTTCTTATAATCGAACACAAACAATTTTGGAACCGCTGTAACAGAGTTTGAAATACTTGATGATGGAACATATCTAGGACGTTGTCAGGGCCGGAAAACGTGTTTAATTCTTAGAAAACTCACTTCACTTTCTGAAAAGTCATGACTGAATATTTCTTGAAGAATCTGGGAAGTTTATGTTACACTGGAACTGAATCATTTTCCACTGGATGTGAAATTTGCAAATGTAATTTTGCAGTTTCTAAATAAAACAAAACAACAGAGAACTAAATGTTTTTTCTTTATACTTATCTGCAACTACAACCTGAATAGGAAAATCTAAAAATGACGCTAACCAATTTTTTTCGATGATTGGTCGTTGGTATCGAACCAACCATCAATTGTGAGATTTCAACCAATTCCCAACACTAATGTACAATATGGAACGCCCATGTTGACAGTTTTGATTTGTCACAGCAATAACCAGTGATCTCATGATCACTCAAATTTAGTATGTTATAGTTATAGATGACAGTACCATGTGCAAATTAACATGACTTGCACTACTGCAATGCTAGTACATGTTCCATTCTTGCATATCTCACTTTGGAAAAGGACATAAGGGTTCAAGTAAAACTTGCTATCTTAAAACAATCGTAAATATTTGTTAATATTCGGTTCTGGTGACCACGAATAATGAATTGAATTCATGAAGGGCTACGGTTCGATTCACCGAATATGTGAGTGAATCGTTACAGCCTTAGCCATTTCAATATTTACTTTGCCATGGAACAAAAAATAAAGCATTAATTCGATCCCTGGAGGTGAAACAAAAGCCAAGGGGATTGAAACCTCACCATCGGAATCATGTAAACAAAGTCAAATCAAACGCCATTGATAAATACTCAGGTTTTCCTGTAACCATGTAACCTTTTGATGCCTAGGTCACGGAGTGCCCCGGATCTTCAACATCATCAAGTGTCATGCCATATCCCCTTCACCCAGACATGGTTATATGTTATGCAGAAATGTGCATCCAGTACACATAAAGCATAGAAAGGACAGTGGGACACTCAATGATATTCACCGTACAAAATTCTTGATAAAAAATATAAAGTTACTGTAACTAAAGTAACCATCAAATCCTACAGAACAGTACACTATTCCATTACTTTACAGTACACTATTCCATTACTTTACAGTACACTATTCCATTACTTTACAGTACACTATTCCATTACTTTACAGTACACTATTCCATTACTTTACAGTACACTATTCCATTACTTTACAGGACACTATTCCATTACTTTACAGTACACTATTCCATTACTTTACAGTACACTATTCCATTACTTTACAGGATCCTCATGGCTCCTGTGAGAACCCTTGAAAATAGTAAATGGGAGGCATGTGGAGTTTTGTAGGTCAGCATAAACCCCTGCCTACAGGGGAATACAGGACATATAAATCCAGTATGACGTCTTTTATATCTGTCATAAGTATGTTTAAAAAACATCAGTCAGTGGTAGCAGTGGTTCATGTGTGCATGTGACATAAAGATGACATGATTAGTAATGATTACATGTAAAAAGTTTATGTTATTTCTAATTGGGGAGGTAGCTAACACAATTATGTTTACAGCAGTACACAAACGTATTTTGACACAAGCCCAAAAATGTGAGTAAATACCCCAAACTGTGACTCCCAACTTGAGCTGGGTATCAATTAATAATGATTATTCTTGACAAAAATACAAGATCTGTATCAAACATTGCACTGCACCCTTCTAAAAACAAAGAAGTCATTACCCAAACCTGAAAACAATCTGCTAAATGATTGTAAAGTCATTGCTTGAACAAATTTGATGACTGGAAGGACAGAATTCCTTGAACTATATACCCTGACCTCTGTAGTTTGGAGGCATAAACCAGTGATGATGCAGCAAATTATGTTACAGAGACAAGGCTCGATTTAGTGCTTTGTTACTTGCACTGGTACAACCAAATATTACAAAGTGCAACCTAGTTATTAGTCAAACTAATAGCTTTATTATTATTTTTTTTGAGAAATAAATAGAATATTATAAGCATAAGTATGTCAGCTCATGTTTCTTCTAAACTTTGAACAGCTATGGCACCGAAATATTGCTATTTATAGACACTTCTCGGCTACGACAGCTGTTGAAAACAGGAATCAGCTGTGTCTCTGTGTTGCTATGGTTCATCATGTTCATGGGTACTACATCAGGGAAATATGTTTATGTGCACCGAAACCTCTGACGTTTTAACAGACTACATTTCAACTGGAATTTGGCTGGTGTAACTAGGTTTGTATCTTAAGTTACACCTGGTGCAAGTAGGTTAACATCTCTTAAATCGAGCCATGAGAGAAAACTTGAAATAGACGGATATGCCAATTGCATGGAGGGTCATCCAAATTCTGTGATGAACATGTATTGTATCACATACATATAACGTCCTTGAATAATATATATTTTGTTAAAATTGTCGTTTAGTCTGCCAACTGAACGCTTCCTGGTTTTGTTTACAAAACATATGTGTAAGCAAGGGGTCTACTGACTGTAATTAACTTGGCTCAATATTGAGAGCATACATTTGCTGAGAGTTAGATTGCTTAATCTGTAAAAATAATTTCACTGACTATTTTTAAAAAAGTAACAGTTAAATTGATTAATTCAGTGTGAGCCAGATTCTTGTGGATCTTTTATTCAGAACTTTCCTCTTGGATCCATTCTTAGATTTTAGTGTTGCCTTCTATAATAATATTATTAGCCGTGATTAGGAGGCCATACAGAATTTCACTTGACTTTGGTGATCTACTTGTTGCACAAGTTGCAGCATGTTCACTGATATCAAAACACTTTCACCATATTAAGGAGGCAAACAGTAATGAAATTAAGACAGTCAAAAATTATTTTGAGTCATTTTAACAGAGTGGTAAAAGTAAAGTGGTCAAAACAAAGACAAATGGCTGAGTAGAGTGCCCACCTTCTGGAATGTCTGGAATCATAGTGATCATCATCATAATAATCATTTCTCCTTCTCTTGTGGCGATAATCATCATCATAACTGGAATCTCTACTTCTGGTCCTCTTTCTTCGGGAACGTGGCATCTGAAAGGTCATAAACCATATTTTAAGATACATCCCTAAAAGATCAAAGATAACAACAGTACTGTTTGCAGCGACAAAGTACACTTGTGCTGAATACACCGTGAGACCTTCCAATGTAGCAGCACTCGTGAGTAAACAGGCATCTGTACAGACTCCCAGTGATGATAATCATGATGATTAGAGAGAACTACCCGTGATGATAACCATGATAATGCCAGACCAATTTTATTTCTTTTTTTACGGATCCACCGGTCGTATTTTTTCAAGAATAAGAAAAAAAAAGAAAAGTTTCCCAGCTCAAAAAATAAAATCCTAATGTTTTTTATTGGCCAAATATGTAAACTTACAAAAAAAAAATTAGGGAGATTGTTTTTTTTGCCCCATATACATTTCATAAGTTGCCAAAAGTAACACACTTTAGTATTTAAAAGTAAAATTACTTTGACTGGTCATATTTATTTTTATACTTTTTTCCTTTCCCTCCTGCCTTTAGGTTTTCTGAGGACAAAAATCCATAAAACAAGAAATAAAATTGGTCTGGCCTAAATAATCAGTAGCAAGCAATGCTCAAAACATCAAGTTTGTAATTACACAACTTAATAATAAGGTCAATGAATTGGGAGATAAACATGCCATGTTTTCTATAAAGTTATAGGTTCGACTTGATGATCCACAATGATATTTGGAACCCATGCACAAGAGTAACATGAGGCTGCAAACCTTATATTTCATTTCAGAACATAACTGGAACCTGAGCACCAGAGTATACAAATTCAGCATAATTCCATAAATTATGCTGTAATTCAACCTTACTGCAAGCTTCAAGCATTCATGAACCCTATAAACTTCAAACACTGAATTAGCACTCAATGATGTGCTTAATGTTTTGTTGTCAAAGATATTTACAATAAGGCATGCTACTTTTAAAGATGAAAGCCTTACAATGTAGTATAACAGTCCTAATAGACAGTTGGGTATGATAGCCCTCATGGGAACGCTTATTGAAATGTATTTTATTAATGATAGTGCACATCTATAACGCGCTCATTTCTACACTTGCAGCATGCTCAAGGCGCAAATTATTACTGATATCAGGGTTCCAGATAATTTTTCAACATCAGGAGTATGTTCTCGTTATTTGTTCAATATAGGACTGGAAAATCTTAAGAGTACATTTAGAGTACTCAATGGAAATTAATGGAGTATCAGTAATCTTGTGTTTCGTTTCATATATGCACCACAGCATTGCTACTCTTGTGTAAACAGGCCAATGAACAATAAAACAATACTTTTTTCAGATAAGCATGTCTGTAAATGATTCTAAGACTGTACACCATTGCTGTGGTGCGTATCTGCTACGTTTTCTAAATCTTTTCCTATCGTATCGTGCATATTTTTTATCCATACATATGCTTATACGGCCCTTATCTGGAGCATTGTGATATCATACATATTGCAGGGTTTTACTTGACGGACAAATGTGAGTCCAGTACGCACAAATGTAGAGCATGGACACAGAAATACAATTCTACACACTGGTACTTAACAGGACCAAAACGAATAATTGGGGTCCCTCCGTTGTTTGGATGTTGAGGTAACAACCTGATATTGAGACTGAACTTCACAGAAAGTATGTTCTTATGTATGTCATGATTCATCTCATGTTCCAAGCATCTGGCCCCCATTTCTCGAAACAAACTTAAGTCTGAGTTTCGACTTAAGTTGGGGTTTTTACTCAAATTTGAGAAATTGCATTTCCCAGAATGAACTAAAATCGATATTAAACTCAAACATAGCAGACAATTTGAGTTTGGTGGACAGATTACTTAAGTTGTTTTGGGCTTTTTTATTCAAAAAATGCAGTTGAGTTAAAAATTCATCTGTTTCAAATTGTCCAACTCAGTTTGAAATTTGAGTAAAAACTTAAGTTTGTTTCGAGAAATCGGGGCCTGATAATATTGTGGCATTTTATAACATATGTAACAATCCATGCCAATGTCACCATGCTGCAAACACTGGTGTATGCTTTATACTGCTGTAAACTTAATCATTTTGAACAATCTATTTCACTGAAAAGTGTAAAAGAGTTTATTCATTTTTAATACACTTTGGTATCTATCAGTGTGACATGTTTTTGAATATTTTGATTTCCAGTTATTTTAATTTCAATGAACAGATCATACATCAATTTGTATTTATTGCAATTCATTTGTGACATTATCAGAACGAATGTATTATTTAGGAGTCAGATTACCATTACAAGTCAAACATTAACCATATTTCTACAAAACTGACAGCTGTTCAACTACGCAGAGCAAAGCCTTTTTTGAAAGGTCACAATCTAGTAAACGTTTGAGAATGGTAAACAAGGAAAAGTGATTTTTATTATTGTCACCACAGTTTCAATACTAAATTTGAGATTAAAGCTGTTTGCTTATTGTTATCACTAGTAGTATCAATGTAAATGGATTGTTTAAAATCCTAATCAGTATTGATCAAATCAATTGATGTCAAGATATTTAGCATGGATACAGTGTACATAAAATCATCTTTTCAGTTCATAGTCTTGTATGTGTCCCATGATAATACTTACCCCTACATACATTGTATACCCCTTTCTTGTGAAAACAGGACAACTAAATGATGTTTAGCCATGAAAAATTGTAAATATCATTTAAATGCTTTTGCCTTGGGAATAATTTTCTGATAAATGTCAATGAGAAAATGAGTATGCTTCGGTTTTATTTGATACTATGTTTAGTATAGATTATTAATGATCTGGTTGTGGATTTCACATGATAGGATTTAACCACCAAAATCACACCTCAGGATCCAACATTGAGATTATTTCAGTCATATGCTGTGTCTTAATCTTTAATCTGGGATAACATGAATGACAAAAAGCTGTTTTGGGTTAGAGAAGTGTGAATGTAGAATGCATGTATATAGAAATCATGACATGGCTGGCATTTTTTAAGAGTGATTATGTCAGTTTTACTTTATGTATTTGTTGTTAATTATATTGTATTTATTTATCAGTTAAGTGCATATCATAACAACTGTCTAAACAGCAGCATTTTTATCTTTATATATATCTTATGTATATCTCCTTTATGTATTGGCCAAAACTAAAACAAGGTAGAAGATCTCATTTCTTTTCCACCTGTATAACTTTCAGGTTCCAACTTCCATTGTCACCAGTGTTTGATAGCCAGTCAAGCACTGATGTTGCTTGACAGTGATTTTTTTTCGCTTGGTTTGAAATAACTCTTCCCAGATTTATTCTTGTACTTATACACGGCGATATGCAATACTTACTTTGGTCTGACTGACTGATACTGACAGTGTGGTTAAGAGATATAGAATAGAATAGAATAGAATAGAATAGAATAGAATAGAATAGAATAGAATAGAATAGAATAGAATAGAATAGAATAGAATAGAATAGAATAGAATAGAATAGAATAGAATAGAATAGAATAATACTTTAATGCCTTTTCAGGAATTTGTGTTACATCAGCAGAGCTACTGACACATTAGAGAGATACCAAACATATTTACATAAATTCTTGATTTAGATATCTTCACATTTGTTTAAGAGAGATATGGTACTTGGAATAAAGGATGTACGGGATCTCTTAGTTTTCACAATGGGAACTTTGTATCGGCAGCCTGAAGGGAGATGGTTGTATTCCGAATTTAAGTAGTGAGTACGGTCAGATATGATTTTGACAGCTTGATTCACGATTTGACGCTCATATATTGATGATAAACATTCAAATCTGACTCCAGCGATTTTACTTGCAGTGTTAACAATTTTGTCTATTTTAGATTTGAGATGAACTGAGAGAGACCCGTGCCAACAATGGAAGGAAAATGTTAAAATACTCTGAATAAATGCTACATAAAAAGATGACATCACAGATGGGTTAACATTAAAAGATCTCAATTTACGCATGAGATGAAGACGTTGTTGACACTTTTTGTATAAATGCAGCTTCATGTCAAATGACTATACATGTTGAGGAGGAATCTTGTTATACAACTGAAAGTTTGTGTTGTCGCCTTTCCAGGATCTATTCCAAATTTCTTTTTCTTCAGAAGAAATACATTTTCAGGATTGTTCAGATACAATAGTGTATGTAAAACCTCCCATTAAGAGACATTGTATTTCACAACTATGACTTGAAAATATCTATCAGGCAGCATGGGATATGTGTGCATACTAGAGAAACATCCCACTAACGTGATATACAAACAGAGAGCATTGAACTTTATTGGGTGCAGATTTCAGATTTCAATAAGCATTGATGGCAAAATTAATCTAATCAAAAACATGTTTGTGTCACAAGATGTTTTTATGTGATGCTTGGCTGTGTAGAAACTCCAGCACATCGCACCATTTTGATTCTTGACACGGTTAGATATCATGTGTTAGGTCACATGGGCAACTGATCGGGTACGTCTCAAGTTATGAAAATAACAGGAGTATGTGAGGTGAGGTGAAATTGGGTTTAATGTCGTGCTTGAGAATATTTTGCTCATATGACGACGTGCATGCATGTGTAGGTGTATGTGAGGCTGCTTGTACTAGCCCAGACTTAAGCTGGTTTTATAGTGCTAGCCCACTGAGATACCATGCCGCAGTGAAGCATGAATACCCCACTCAGACACATTATACTGACTCCGAGCCGACCAGTCCTTGTTGTACCCATTAATGCCGAGCGCCAGGCAGGGACCAACAAGTACCATATTTTAACGTCTTTTGGTATGACGCGGTCGGGGATCGCCACCGCGACCTTCCTCTCTCCGGGCGGACCCTCTAACCACTACACCACGGAGGCGGTCTATCAGGAGTATGTACTCCTTATTTTTTCAATATAGGAGTACTGGAAAAACTTTTATCCGTACATACACCGATACGGCCCTTATCTGGAGCCTTGCATTCATATGACTCAACCACCTTTCTCAGTCCCCACATTTAGGGTAGGAAAAACTTGCCTTATACATGGCGATATACAGTAATTAGTCAAAAAAAGAATGCAGACCACCAGGACGTGTGAATTCAAAACTTGATCAAAATTAAACAAATTTTGGTCAAATTAGGCAATTTACATGGGATAAGAGATACCCAAACTCAGTACCCTAAGCAAAGTAAACAAATTTCTTTCCTTGAAATACATTTGATTGTGGCAAATTTGGTTGATTTGACAAGAGGATTAGCATTTTAGTAATCTGGATAATTCTGACAGACAATTCAAGCCTGATGAATATAGTTGGTACGTCTTTATGCTCAGAAATGACATATCAAATTGATCTTCAACTTGACAACACCAGCCATATAATTCTTGAGATGATCTTCTTAAATTTGTCACTATCCATTTACAATGAAAATATAAAGACACATTTGAAATTGTCTTGAAACAGCATGTCCGCAACGGCAGCAGCCAAAACACACAGCTAATTTGTTTACCTTTTTCAATCCAATGTAACGAATATATGTCTGACTATACTTCCATATATCAAAGCAAAGGTTATATCCAGTATACATACGTCAAACGTTGTAAACGTTGGTAGTTCGTATGGACATATGGAACGTGACATTTTAACACATATCGGCAGTGGTTATGTACACAGGTGGCGCGCTGTTATGACCAACCAGGTCAAATATGGCTGTCGTTGCGACACAAAAACGTTCATTTTTCTTGAATCAGAAAAGGTTAAAATGGCGGATATACGGTTAAACGTGAACGCTAACGTGTTTCGATCTTTCTTTTCTGTACTTACACTGATTGTTCTGCCTCGACTTACTGTTCCCCACAAAAAATCTAAATTCAGATGTCTACGACAAGAAGACACGATCGATGCAAGAGCATCCATTAGGTGTTGTAAGGTATCACACGATTGGTCAGAATAAAGCCAATGACAAAACCAGTTTAAATATCGTCCTGACTATTTCTAACGGGGAAATGTATTGGGCGTGATACTCGTTATTGTCCAACCAGAAACCGTTTCTCTTGTACCGCATGGAAATCCATCATGGCAAGCCGATCCATAGGAAAGATTTTGAGGAATTTGCAGTTTAGGCCTGTACAAGATATGAAATTTACCTTTGATCCTTATAAAGATAATGTCCGCTCAATCAGGTATTTATATGATGGAATAAATGAAAATGGGTGATGGCAGAATTCCGAATTTGTTAGTGTGATGAAGGGCAAATCTGATTTTACCTTGTTTAAATTTAGGTTACTGTCTGTATTGTATTTAATTTATCACGTGTATTGATGAAGTATGAATCAGGTCATGAAAAGTAGTGTAGTAAAAGACAATTTTATAAACTCTGTGTGTGTGTGTGTGTCAAATGATGTTATGCTTGTTAAAAAGAGCTAAACCCTTGTAACGAATGTATGATTTGATAATGTGCTTGTTATGAATGCTGATGTGATGCTGATCGGCTGATGTACATGAAATTGTTTTGAATAAATCATGGAAGCATGTCTCAACTGAATGGATTATGACCTTGTTGGTCTCAGAGTGCTCATTTAAATGCATCTCTCTCTCTCTGAGGATTACTATTCACTGTTTGACTTTTGTTTTCTCTCTTTTTCAGAGAGATATTATTTCAGTTACAGTCCCCCAAACTGATCTCAACTAATGAGAATGTCAATATGAAACTGGATATCAAGTCCGATAGATCCGATCCTCGCATAGACATAAACTTTTGTAAGAAGCATCATCTTTTTTTCCAGACTGGTGTAATCTCTTGTTTTACAGATTTGTTATCAGTATTTCGTAATAGGTAATGGTTAACTTAATTTAATTTATTCCATGAGTAAGACTTTTGAAATATAAATTTGTTTATACCAGCAATCTAATACAGATTTTTAAATATTCTCTAAATGATTAATGTACAGTGACAAACATAGCTACTGTATTCTGTACATTTGTGAAATGTTTCTCTTAAAGTTTATTTCTTTGACAATATTTCAGCTGATGGGCAGAAACTGATCTTCAAAACAGCAAATCTGACTACATTAGAAATTCTTGACCGATTAAACCAAATATGTATGGACAAAGATCCCAAGAAGAATGAGGCAGCTACAGTGACGACAAAAACAGCAAGGAAAAAGAGATGATGATGGCAGATGGTGTAGCCATCATCAATTGTGACTGTCACATTGTCAGATGACAGACTGTGGATGTGTGCTTCCTGGATGACTTTCAGGCAGTCAGAGGAGACTCACTGTATATATTGTGTGCATCGAGAGATTTGTAACAGTCAATGGACTGAGTGTGTATAACTCAAATGCTAGATGTGTGGATGGCTGAAAACTTTTATGATATTGACTATAAAGGTGATAGATAAATCCTTCGTCTTACTTTTATGCAGGGCTACAGATAAGGGGCGTACAGGCGTAATGTATGCCTAAAAATCAATGAAGCACGACATTTTAAGCGTATCATGTACGCTCATCAATACCTTTGTACATGTAACATATATAAAGTTTAATAGCTGAAAAGTTGTTTAATATCATAAATAACAAACCATGTCACCAACTCACTCACACAAAAACAAGTCCGTACTCTTTCAAAATTCTCAGTACACCTCCACTTTCAGTATTGGGTGTAATTACACTCACCCCCAAAAAAGTTATCTGGAGCCCTTTTTAAAGTTTATGAACAAACTTCTGGTCCGACAGACCTGCATACTTGGTGCTGCTATGTTATCTTAGGTGTATGGAGGGAAAAAAGAAAATCTGACCCCTACTTTCTGTCCCTTATGAACCTTCAAAATTCATGCAAGTCTGCTAGAGACTACAAAATTGTGCTTATGACAAGTGAATTCTAATGATGGCTGTCCTGACTGACTAGTCACATTTGAGAGATAAATATCTAAACATGAGTATGTCATCTAGTTATGACATTTCACAATAAAATGTATCACAAAGGTTTTAGAATTTACGGAGAATTGAAATGACATAATTGTTGTGATGTTTTAAGTTTAACTGGATCATCAAAAGGTATCTGCACACCTATTTCACAAAAGCATACCTATCTGTCTCGCACAATGTGGCACCATTATGGAAATTGTATTTCTATCCCTGGCTTCTATCAAATGAAAAATGAAAAATACAAACATAATCATCATGTTTCATTTATATATAGGGGCGGTGGGGTAGCCTAGTGGTTAAGGCGTTCGCTCGTCACCCCGAAGACCCAGGTCGATTCCCCACATGGGTACAATTCGTTAAGCCCATTTCTGGTGTCCCCCGCCGTGATATTGCTGGAATATTGCTAAAAGCGGTGTAAAACCAAACTCACTCACTCACTCACTCACTCATTTATTTATACCATGATTATCACTGGTATGTTTGACTGCTTGTATATATAACATGTGATCATGGGTAGTAGCTCTGTCTCCATGTTTGCAGGGTGACCTAGTTCAAGAGGCTTTTGTTTATCATTCAGTAAGTCATTGTTGACTGGTTCATGAGTGAAGTGATGCAGAAATGATAAGTCACACGTACAATAAGATTAGATGTTGACCTAGAATTAAAGAAGGAATCTTACACTTGTAGAGCTTATAACTTATATTGCAATAAGAATTAGAGTGATCTGGAGGAGGTGTATTGATACACTGTTTGAAGCAATTTCCTGTATTTAAGAGATAAACATTATATGTTTTCAGATTTGCAGTTACATTTATTGAGTGTCTGATGTCTATAAATGTCATTATGAACTGACACTGTTGGCCAAAGGTTCCAAATTGTTGGACTTTCTGGGCTTGGAAAACTAAAATCACAAAACTTAAAATGTGTAATATATGTGTAAAGAACGTGCAGTGAATACACCAGGATATTCCGACCTTAAAATATAATTTAATCATGCTCTTTTAACCCATTACATAGTTTGCGCTTCCATTTGTTTTAAAATATCCTTATAAAAATGGAAACACCTTGAGTTTGTTCTGGTGGGTTGTGCTGAAAAATAACTGACATGATGATGTGTGTTAACCAAGTCAGCGAGCCTGACCACCTGGTCCCGTTGGTCGCCTCTTACTACAAGCAACAAGCATCGGTGAAGGTCAATATGCCTATTATGTGTGAAATGGGCCAAAATATTTTTAAGTCAAAGTGAAGTCTAAGCTAATGTATGTTAGTCTCATCAAATGTCTGTTAAAGTCAAATTGACAGAATTATTGCTGGAAGTGGAGGTTCACCCTCATCACTAGCCCCATATCCTGTAGGAACTAAGGGAAGCAACTCTTGATAAAACAAGCATATTTGTATGGGCAAATACATGTCTGTACTGGCAAGTCATGGAGGTTGTAGTTAAAAGTTATTTAAGTTTCAAGTTTTTCTATACACACACAATAAGCCGTGAAGGCGCAGATCTGGCATCAACCAAGTCGGTATCCCGCTGCTTCGCTTCGAGTGAGCCAGACCTCCCATACCCACAGTTGCCCCTTGTGACATGTATTCAAAACATAATAGACCCGTGAAGATCCAGGTTAAAATTGGTCTTCAGTAACCCATGCTTGTCGTAAGAGGTGACCAAACACATACTAGCGTGGTCAGGGTCGCTGACTTGGTTGACACGTCATAGTATCCCAATTGCGTTTATTGAGCCTCATGCTGTCATTGCTCACTGGATTGTCTGGTCCGATTATTTACAGACTGCCGCCATATAGCTTGAATATTTCTGAGTGTGGTGTAAAACAACAAACCAAATGAAGAGATAATAATCCATTTTGAGAGATATATTTTGGGTTAAGGGTACCTATTACAGAAATAGGTACATGTATAATTAAAACAACAATTTCGACCAATCTATTGTACACGTTAACATGTAGACGTGTGTCTCTTATGTTTAAGCATGGCTGTGGATATTCCAATCATCCAATGTAATGAAAAAGAAAACGGGCATAAACCTCTGATAATATGTTCATGATGTTGATCACTGGATTGAACCTCTGTTCTAATACGACCCTTTCATGGTGCGAGTGATCAGGAGCCGTGATTGGTTGCAGTCAGATTTAGTTGTGCAATCAGCGACGTTGTTTCAAAAGTGATCAATCGCAAGGCCTCGGTAATTTCCGTATTCTTCGGGAAAACTAGAATCTCTTCCTCTGCGCGGTGCGCAAACGTTTCTTCTAGACAGTACTCAGTCATGTAATGGCATATCTATGGCGTCTCCATCACCCTCGTTGACAACGGACAAGCTAGCCATTAAATGTCTTGTGAGCCACATCAACACAAGTCCCCGGCAGAGGAGGGATATGTGTGGCCCTACATTTGTTTGCATTAGTCAAGTTGGATCTAAGTCGATGAAACTCGTGTTGGATAGAAAGAAGGGCGATAATTTGTGTTGCGATTTTTTTGCCGCTAGGGGATTTTGCGAGAACCGGGAAATGTGGCCGTATTGGAACTGTGGCTCGAAGGAAGATATGACAAGTAACCTCTGTAGGAAGAGAACGTCTGATAATAAGTGATTAGCAATTCATGACAATAAAACAATAAGACACAGATATTTGACCTGCAGTATATAGTCTTTGGGGCTTCTAATGACTTGCTTATATTTCCGCTCGATGACATCCATGAATATTGACAAAAACGCTATTTTCAGCGACTCACTGCGTCCTCCATGGGTTTCACTCGGAAGCGATTGTGCGGAAAACATTCGTGAACAACTCGTGTTATTCCGAATCGCGACTCGTGCCCCTATGGAAGGATTTCATATGGCCTATGAACATCAGAACTACTTTATACAAGAAGGACAACGCAATTCCAATAAACATTACAGAAGCACTCGAAAATTGCTGCTTTTAAAATTTTACAGATGTAAAAATATATTGTTTTGCAACCCATGGTTATTTATATTTACATTAACTACAAATGTCTGAAGCGCACGTAGAAACTCCAAAACATGCCCGCAGATCGCCCGAGAAAACACTCGGTTGGAAATAGGAGAGCAGTTATGTACACAAACGCACGTGAATGTATTTGAATCTCACCGTCCATTGCATTATCATTATTAAAACATCACATGAGGCAACACAGTTCTGTTAGCTACGTTCTTTGCACTTTCACTATGACGATATATATTTTTCATGATTTTCTAAACAATGACATAAACGACTTAAACACTCGGGATTATTTTTACCAAAGCACCGCAATCATTACGCGCGTTCTGATTGGTTTGTCGTATTTTTGCACAAAACAAGCATCGAGACGGGGACGAGTCTTCTTGGAGGTTACGGAAAGGGGCTAGTGGTGACGAATGTGCGGAAAATAGCATTCGGAATTGTTCGAATTTTTTAGGTAAAAGTTCAAACGGTATGTGCGAATGTTAACTTTCGTAATTTGGTCGGCTGTGTTCTGATTGGTCAGTCCAAAAGGTTAGCTGACGCTACCTTCTACTTGGATTTGTTAGAATCAGTATTATCCTAGTTACTGGTGTCACAGGGAATTTTGATATTTTGCAACTTGATAAATAGTATTAGTCCGCTTATATGGCGCTGGTATCCAGGCACATTGGCTGCATGCTCACGGCGCTACGTGCATTACTATTCCCAGTCATAGGACACTATCGTACTTTCCGATACTTTTTCAACTCCCCAGGGATCATATGGCGCAATGAACATAATTGACAAGTATGAACGAATTTTGTGTGTCTGACATTTTTTGTAGTTCAGGCTCCTTATTATTCACAAAAGAGGATCACCTGGATTCTGTCTCCCCCACTAGAAAGATTTCAGGATTGATACTTCTTGTTCTCATGTCATCACCAGAGGTGAATTGGTCTGTGGAGCCTTGTCCAGGACACAAAATTCACTCTGAACTGTTTACAGAGAAGGGGGACGTTAAGATCAATCTGGATTGTCTGCGGAGATTGCAAATGTCCTTGACACAAGGTCAATCTGGATTGTATGTGGAGAAGGGGGATTGCAATTATCCTGGACACAAGGCCAATCTGGATTGCCTGTGGAGAAGGGGGATTGCAAATGTCTTGGACACAAGGCCAATCTGGATTGTCTGTGGAGAAGGGGGATTGCAAATGTCTTGGACACAAGGCCAATCTGGATTGTCTGTGGAGAAGGGGGATTGCAAATGTCTTGGACACAAGGCCAATCTGGATTGTCTGTGGAGAAGGTTGATTGCAAATATCCTGGACACAAGGTCAATCTGGATTGTCTGTGGAGAAAATGTCTTGTCTGGATTGTCTGACGCAAGGCCAGTCTGTATTGTATGTGGAGAAGGGGGATTGCAAATGTCTTGGACGCAAGGCCAATCTGGATTGTCTGTGGAGAAGGGGGATTGCAAATGTCTTGGACGCAAGGCCAGTCTGTATTGTATGTGGAGAAGGT